CACACACTTTAGTCTTTTTTTATTTCTATTGTTACCGACAGCTTATGGAAAACATGAAAATCAAGATACAAAAACACTAGTATAAGGAAACAACCATTCATATATTTGTGTTTCTCGTAGTTTGTAAAATGTCTAAACTCACCTTTATATGTAATTGTGGTTTGACAGTTGAGTGTCTTGAACAATGAAGAGAAGGATGCTTGGGGTGATCATTAAGAAATAAAATAAATAGTAATATTTATTTTAATATTTGCCGACGTTTCGACCTGAAGTCAGGCCTTCATCAGGGCTCAGAAATGAACCAGATAATAAGGTTTGAGAAGCATAAACAATGTAGGTAAAAAAATATGGAAGTAAAATGAATTGAAGTGGAATAATTATGTTGAATAATTGGAATTGAATTTGAATAATTATGGAATAATTATGTTTACTTCATTATTCCTCACTTTGTTACAGTTATTACTATTTATTTCTTAGTTCTTGTTATTTTCATTATTCTACCCACTTCATTTTACTGTAATATTTTTTACTTACATTGTTTATGTTTATCATACCTTGTTAGCTGGTTCTTTTCTTAGCTTTGATGAAGGCCTCAACTTCAGGTCGAAACGTCGGCAAATGTTCAAATAAATATTGTTTTTTATTTTTGCCTTTTTATCTCTGGCTGATCATCCCAACCATCCTTCTCTTCTTTATATGTATCGTTTTCGAGATAATGCAGAGGCCTAACCTTATTTTAAAGCTTGATTCCATGCTTACCATGGATTAGCACATCACATAGAAATTAAAATATACCATATATTCACGCCAATATTTATATATTATTTGTGGAAGATATTTTTTTTTTCCTTTTACCTTAGTTAATTTTTCATCAAATCCAACGACTGAGCAATCATTTTAAACATTATCTTAAATTATATATAGTATATAATTTGTGGTTGGCAACATTATGATTTGAATGCGTTCTTATTTCCCTTCAAAATAAAAAAAAAATATTTAGATGTAGCAAAGGTTCTACTAATTGTAATTTGTATTAATGTTTTGGACTATTATACTTAATTGAAATCAATGCCTCCCTGAAATAAATACATTTTCATATTATATAGTCAATTATTCATTGACCAATATACAATGTTAATTATTACCACAGGTCAACTAGTTTAATCAATATTAACGTAGTATTATTATAATATAATTACTATACTAATAATCTATATAAATAAAATAAAGAGTTTGTCTGTGCATTAAATAGAATCAACCCGTTTTATGACATATTTCCGTTTCATACATTGCAGACACCAAATCAACTTTTAAAAAAATTGTTGTCTGTCTGTATGTATGTCCACATTGCAACGAAATTTTGTCAGGGATGAGGTCAGCAATGGCTTGTTGTAGACTTTTGAAATTATAACATTATATTAAGGTTTGCTTGACTTAAAACATAGGCTTTAAATGAAAACAAAATATTGAGTACAACCAAAGTTATGAATTCTTGAGTAATTTGTAGAGACATCTCGGTTAATGTTGATAATAAATGTTAATAATAAACATATGTTTATAGGTTAAAGAACATCTATATAAATAAAATAAAGGTTTCATCTGTAAATTGAATATAAGCAACCCGTTTCATGATATTTTTCCGTTTTATACATTACAGACACCAAATCCAATTTTTGTCTGTCTGGATGTTCTCATTGTCCAACGAAATTTTTTTCAGAGGTAAACTCAGCAATGGCTAATGGTAGACTTTTTAAATTATGACATTTCATTTAGGTTTGCTTGGCTTAAAATATATCAAATTTTAACTATACACCCGTCAATGATATACCTATATACCTAATGAAGAAGAAATGGTAATAGTTCCCCTTCTCTAATCCTAGATAGAGGCCGATTTCAAGATCACCAGAGCACGCAATTCTTATATTCCCGATGAATTCCGAAAATATCCGAATAGTGACAATCTTGTTTACATATGAAAGAGTTGTATTTTTAGGTTGGGTTATATTTTCTCACTTTTCAAAGTCGTAAAAATTTATAATAATAAAATACGTATTAAGGAAAATTTATATTCTGTAAAAAAATAACTTGATACCGCAGCATAGTGAAATAACCATTTATATATTTGTTTGTCCCATAGTTTGTGAAATGTCTAAACGTGAACTTTACAGTGTTAAATAAGTGACAAAAAATTAACTGGCGATGCTTACATAAGGAAAAAATGTTTACATAGTAAGGTCAGTATGCATAGCTGTTTCACTGTTTTCATTAGCTACAAAATATTTTTATTACAAGATCTCAATTTTGTCGTATGAGAATAAAATTTCAGGAAGAAGCTGTATTCGGAAATTCAGTAACCCCTTAACATATACGTGTTTGATATCCAAGAATTCTGTAATTCAGCGAATTCTAAAATGCGAAAGAGTTCTATGCATTTGAAGATTGCATATTCGATAATTCGTGATTAAAACGAAAAATTCCATGGCATAATTAACTTGTATTTGTCTGTTAGTGCAAAAGGTCGTAGGTAAAAATTGAATTTTTTACTGGAGAGCATTTAAACTAATAATTTCTTCATGATGTATTAGTATAATTTCATATTTCACTGACCTCAAATATTTTCCATTGTAGCAGACTTATCAGTTACAGACTACAAAATGTTAAATATGGAAAAAAAAAAAAAAAAAACTGAACCGTTACAACCCATGAAGAGTCTTGGGTTCAGTACTATTTTGGGAAAGCACTGTTTCTTGGAAAACCGCCAGGTTTTCCTCCTTAATTAATTATTTTAATTAAGGGTACCCACTTTAAAGAGGCTGGGTTGTCCCGCAGGAGGGTCTACCTACACTGGGTCGCCCCACGGCCAATGAAACAGAATAAATAATTTTTCTGCCATGTGCCGGGATTCGAACCTGGGGACCTTTAGCATTAGAAGCTCAGTACCCTACCACTGAGCTACCCTACACCCTTAAAGATAATATAAGTGAGACCAGCCTTGAACCAGACTTGTTAACTATTGAAGTCTAGGATGCTACTAGCTACTAGACTATAGACAAATATTAAATATAGAATAAAATTGAAAATTTTTACGTACCAACTTCTGCATTAACAGTAGTTACTTAACAATATACTTAATAAGTATGTTTTCACACGTGAAATAAATGGAACAAAAAATCCATAGGAATAATTCAACTTTTTGTTTGTTTGGAATTAACGAGACCAATACTTTTCTTCAGTCAGGACAAAACTAATTTATGCTTGAATATAGTTTGATGTTTAAGGATAAAATCGGAACCACGGCGAGCTGGTTGAACTTCAATAGATATCAGCATAATCATAAATACGACTACTTTTTCGTAGTCCAGAAATAAACTTAACAAAATTAGACCAGAATAGAATTATTTTTTCATTTCATTAATTTTTTTTACAAACTTAGAATAAGAATTAACTTAAATTTATTGAAAATTACACAAAATCTAAATAACGGCAATAAGCATCATGCTAGTTACATTTGGATGTGACTAAAGGGGACCCTACACGGTAATTCATGAATGAACGTCACAAGAAGTTCCAAGATTGCCCGCTATCGCATTGATTATGAAGACCCTTACACGTTCAATCATTACTGATCATTACTTATCGTTGCTGATTTAGGTTAGATCGTTGCTGACACCAATTTAGCTCAGTTGTACACAAAGAAACAGCATAGATATGCTTATTTGGACATTGTCATTTATAATATTGGGCATCAAGAGAAAAACACAACGCCGAATTGCGTGAGTTGTATCCGGGTAATATAACTGAGGTAATTTCATCGCGGCGAATCAAATGGGCTTGTAAAGTTGTTGGGCTTAGTAACGAGAGAATTCCTAAAAGGTTAATATGTGCGGTGCCGAATGGTAAGCGTCCGAGGGGTAGACCGAAGCGAAGGTGGGAAGATTGCATTAAAACCGATTTGAAGGGACTGGATTTGGACGGGGAACGGTGGAGGGAGGTGTGTAGTGGGCGATTGGTGGTGTCGGCATCGAACCTTCGGGTTCGCTAAGCCTTTTATTATTATTATTATCAAGAGAAAAACGGAGATATAATAATTACTTCCTAGTGCCTGAAAATCGTTTAGACCAAAGTTAGAAAAATATAAGTCAACTACATACAAAAATCTAGGAAAAGTATTGCGAAAATAATCAATTTGTTAAGAAAAATGGAAAAATTAATGGCAAATAAACACAACAGTTAAAGATTTTTTTTCTATAAGTAAAATGTGAAGTTTTCACATTTTTTTCTACGTTTCAAGGAAAGCACGTTTGCTAATATATAAGAGAAAGTGGAGGACATATTTCAATGAGATTGATAAAGCTTTTTTTTTATTAATACCTATATTTTTTATAACTAGGAGCCAACTCGAACGAGCCGTTTCTGAAATATTGGCATATATAAAAAAATACTTTCGCGCGTGCGTAAGCGGGAGCGCTTGATGCAATTTGATGAAATTCATATGCGACCATCTAAACACCAACCCGCACAATTTCCAAAAGTTTCATGAATATCGGATAAACAGTAATATGTGATATACCCGTTTCATCGATTTGACTGCAGACAGACAGACAGACACCGAACCAAATTTGAGCCTTGGTGCGTGATATGTAAAACGCAAGTGGAAATGTTCGATTCTTAGCATACATTTTTTTTTAACCTCTCGCACGAACACAATGGTTCCTTACCTTCATTAATGAGGAAGCAAAATCCGCAACTAGAACGAAAAATGACAACGCCTGAAAAAAGCTAAAAGAACAATTATTTTGAAGTTAATTTAATCAACTAGTAAATTTAGTCAATTATCCTGATAAACATTTCGAAACTTTAATTCGAACATTTAGTGGAAAGGGACTTTTTCTATTGTTATAAAATCAAAAGCATACTTAAATAATCTGAAAAAATAAAATGTATTTACAAAATATGAACGCTTCACTGAAGTTACAATAAACATAACAGATTCCAATAAACTAGAACGGTATGTAATCTCTCCTTTGCAAATAAAATCTGTTGTTAGGCTGCCGATAGACCCAGTCGTTGAGCACAGGATGCTCGAAGCAAGATGCCATGCAGGTGTTTGGATATCTGCAAACCGTTGTTTCCGGTGCGGACCAATGGTTGTGCCTCTTGTCATTCTGAGGACATGAATAAGTGAAATAAGCTGGCGCTGGGTGGACGTGGGGGCACTTCTGTCCACCGTAAGGATCCGACTTCATAGCCTCATTCTGCTCCCTCCTTACCCTGTCTTCGAAGCAGACTATCGACTGTCCCTGAGATCCCTGCTTCTCTATGTTCTTCACTTCAGGTGCTAACCCATTTCTTCTTTGAGGAGGAGGCAATTCCTTTGGGCCATTATACTGCCCCCCGTAACCTGAGGACCTTTTCTCATGACATAGTTCGGGTCTTCCATGATGGATCTTTCCCTTACTGTGTTGATAATCAACATGACCCTTTGAGTCTTGTAATGGTCTTCCATACATAACATCTTTTGGAATTAAAACTCGTTGATACCTTGATTCATCAAAGCTGCTCTTTCTTCTTTGAATATGGTGTTCTTTATGTTCGGGCCATACAACGTCTTTGGGGATCAAAACTGGATAATACTTCGTTTCATCACCATGATGCCTGGATTCCTCTTTAGGTTTCATCAATACTACTGCTTTTGGAATCGGATCTGAATGATGCTTTGCTACATTTGATGCATGCCCATGTTTATGTCCCTTTCCATATTGATGATAATTTTCTTCTGGTCGTTGCTGACATTCATTCCTTTTTTGTTCGTGATGTTTATCCCCTGGGTGATGCCTCTCTACTTCTTTATGACCATCACCACCTTCCCAAACATGTTCTTGGCGTATACCAGGTATTCCTGTGTATGGTTGGCTCTGTCTTTCTGGATGTATTTTATTTTCTTCGTTACAAATTACTCGCCTTGAACTAGCCTTTAATGGGTCGTAAACGCATTTATATATTCCTGGAGCTGCTTCCACGTTTTCCATATGGTGCCTTTTACTCTCAACATGACTCTTTATTTGATTTTCTGGTTGATTAACATCGCATTTACAATGATTTGCTTGACTACCAAAATCATTTTGCTTCACAAGGTTCTTATCATTGTAGTATTCATGATGATGAATATGGTTCTCATTTCCTAATTGATGTCTATCCGCCTCTTGATGGTGTTTCTTAAAAGGTGACTCCTGATGTTGCTCCTTGCGGTATGGATCATGGTGGTTCTCATTATGCATTGGCTCCTGCTGATAATCCTTACAGGGGTCCTCCTGATGGTGTTTCTTAAAAGGTGGCTCCTGATGGTGCTCCTTGCGGTCTGGATCATGGTGGTGCTCTTTATACATTGGCTCCGGATGATAATCCTCACAGGGATCCTCCTGATGGTGTTTCTTAAAAGGTGGCTCCTGATGGTGTTCCTTGCGGTATGGATCATGGTGGTGCTCTTTATACATTGGCTCCGGATGATAATCCTTACAGGGGTCCTCATGATGGTGTTTCTTAAAAGGTGACTCCTGATGGTGCTCCTTGCGGTATGGATCGTGGTGGTGCTCTTTATACATTGGCTCCGGATAATAATCCTTACAGGGGTCCTCCTGATGATGTTTCTTAAAAGGTGACTCCTGATGGTGCTCCTTGCGGTAAGGATCATGGTGGTGCTCATAATACATTGGCTCCGGATGATAATCCTTACAGGGGTCCTCGTGATGGTGTTTATTAAAATGTGGCTCCTGATGGTGCTCCTTGCGGTATGGATCATGGTGGTGCTCTTTATACATTGGCTCCGAATGATAATCCTTACAGGGGTCCTCCTGATGGTGTTTCTTAAAAGGTGGCTCCTGATGGTGCTCCTTGCGGTATGGATCATGGTGGTGCTCTTTATACATTGGCTCCGGATGATAATCCTTACAGGGGTCCTCCTGATGGTGTTTCTTAAAAGGTGACTCCTGATGGTGCTCCTTGCGGTATGGATCATGGTGGTGCTCTTTATACATTGGCTCCGAATGATAATCCTTACAGGGGTCCTCCTGATGGTGTTTCTTAAAAGGTGACTCCTGATGGTGCTCCTTGCGGTATGGATCATGGTGTTGCTCATAGGGTGCCTCCTGCTGGTCTTTACTCCAAGGTGGCCGGTAGCAGCTGAGTGTATAATCCATCGCGGGAACGACCTTGTAACATGGAGGACACCATTTTGTGTGTTTACCAGCTGCTGCTTTCCTAGTCAGAACAGGTCTTGCTGGCTGGCCATCAACGGTCATCGGCTGATAGTATTCATCTTTTAACAGATCAATACCCACGCAACAGGAAGGGTCGTCTGGCTGCACAGGATGCTGGTCATGCTGCATACCCTGATCGTCATGCTGCATATCATGATGATCATGTTGCATATCATGATGTTCTTGTTGCATACCATGATGATCAGAATGCATAGCATGGTCATAGTGATGTTTCCCATCAATTCTTGGTTTGTCATGTTCTTCTATTTCACTAACTAATAACAATAATTGCTTAAGTATAAAATCTCGCCTGCACTGTGCCTTTTCAGGGTTCGAGTTGGGACGTCTATTACTCATTTCAGCGGTTGTGTTTATAATGTACTCACTAGAAATTTAGATTTTTTTTTTCAATTATACCTAATTAGAAGTGTTCATTGTATAATTACTAAAAATTTTATTAAATGCCAAATAAAACTGTTATGGAATTTTAATTTTTAAAATCAGATGTTTTAATTAATACGGGAATTTAAAAATATATTATAATATTATACATTACAAAAATATCAGTAAAATTTTATAGGGAATTAAGTTTAATTCAACTGTTAGTTATAAACTTTAAGTTGGTTTTATTGTATTTATGAATTAGTATACACTTCTACACCATTTTTAATTTAATACATGATCACCATTATTTTAAGATCAATGATTTTCATTTGAGAATAAATCTAAATGGGGATGCATTCCTAAGCGAAAGTAATATGGAATTCGATAAAATCGAAATTACACCATTAAATATCAAATCTTACAAATACTTAAAATTTCCTCAAATCGATTTAATTATTGTAGGTTTCTATAGTAAAGAATAACCTTCCCTTTTCCTTTTGTTCACGCTCTGCCACATTTGTTTACAATTAGGAATATTAATTTTAATTTTTTGTTGAAATAAATACTAGATCTATAGGTTTGAAAGGATTCACTGTACCTCCCGCCCCCTCCTATTTCTGATCTATTAATCTGAATAAGCTTCAGAATTGTCTTGTGGATCATTAATTTGTTGTCAACTTGAGAATTTTCTATTCAGTAGTCTTTACAACTCTCCATATCGTCGGTTGAGTTCTTGTCTTTTAAGTATAATAAGATGATGAAGTTGAAGGTGAATTATTGGATAATTTGAACTTCTCGTATTATACTAATACTCAAAATGGTTATATTATATTATGAATAATATTTTATTTGTTTTTTTCGGAATGATATCAATCTTGTACCTTGAAGGCGGAATGAAAAGCGGAGGCTGACTGAGGAAGGTCAGGATTTAATAAGGTGAAGCTCCCCCTTGAAGAAGTAGACGCCTGCGGAAGAGATATTGTCGAGGGTATCTGGGTCTCCTTAAGCAACAAGTGGTCCAGGTCCTGCCTAAGGCAACAAAAGGATGCTTCTTCTTTTCAACTCCTAAACTCTCCCCTAATTGCTCCTGTATATTCATTATCGCCTTCTCTCTCTCCCTCCCTCTTGCTGTGCATGCCTCCTTGATTTTTACATTCCCAGTTCTTCAGTAATCTTAGTAACTCAAATAGTCTATTTTCCATCATACACTGCCATTAAGGCAATACGGGAGTGCAGTAGCAGTGAGACGATGCAACAAAACATCGCTGCTGGAAATAGTTGGTAATGAGCTTGTAGATGTGGCAGCCCTCTCGCATGCCAGGGTACTGCTATCCTGACACTTCTAGAGGGCCATCCCCTCAAAAAAGATATATCAGACAGCTGGTAGTCCGTCTGGAATGAGAGCTCACCAAGAAAGTTGGAGGTTATCGAAAAATCAGTAAAGCCCTGAACCACATCGAACCGTTCTAATCGCAGAGAAAAGTCGCTTCGACTTTACTACCAGTAAAGTAGGCCAAGTAAATTTTTGTTATGAAAAGACAAATTAGATTCCTTTAAGTTAGGGCCTTTGAAAATTCTTAAATACGAATTGTAATATGAATAAAATAAAACAACTCAACCTTAGTGCTTGATTTTCTTGGATGATTTTTTTTTTTTTACTCAACTGAAGCATTCATAACTCTTCAGCATTTTCTGCAAATTCAACTTTAATAAAAACATTGGAAAGCTAAATTACTGCTCTTCCAACCGGCATCAGTAACTTTTGGATTTCACTTTTTTTCATGCTAAAAAATATTTTTTTTAACCATATTTATTGTGGAATTTTTTTTTTATTGTGGTCATTGACATTTCTCTACCCCGAAGGGTCATTGACATTTCTTTTATTTCTACACTCGGTGGTAAAACTCAATTTCTTTCAGGAATTTTGTAAGAGATTGGACACTAGTTTCTGATTCTTCTAGGATTTCTCGTATATTGAAACTCATATTCGTTTTTTTTTTCTTATTCGTGCATACTGCTGGCATTCAACCAATAACTGGGAGACTGTTCTTGGAGCACCATACAAGAACTCAAAATCCTGAGTCGGCACAATATTACTTCATCTCGTCTTGATCCCCGGCAGCTAGCGCTCAATTTTGAACTGTTCTATTTTATCTGGAGCAGTTTCGAATGGAAGCTCCTCCAGACCTCATTCCACTGGGTCATCGACAAGGATTTAAACTTCTTACCCAATCTTCCCGAGGGACACAATTCAAGATTTTTATTTTACTGCCGTCGGCAATTCAGGCTATCCGTGAAGCGTTATCTGCTTTTTCCTTCCCTTTAATCCATGATGGGATGGGACCCAAATGAAAGCCACATCACGGCCTTTTTCTTGAATCTCCCATACGATGTTCAAACTTTCAGCTATTGCTGAGTGTTTTGGTCTCTGGTTGTTAAGTTAATGGACATTTATAATAACGTTCAGAGAGAACACTCTTTCAACAATAAATACAAATAAATAATACAGTAAAACAATAATACTAAAAGTTAATGTATATAAACTAAATTAAACTTATAAAAATAACAACACACATGCTTCTATACAATAACTAAAAAAAAATAAAAAATCACTCACTCAATCTCCGAGCTAAGCCTTTCTCCCACTCGTGGAAGGAAAGGCAGGACTCTAGAAGATCCCAGCGCCTCTCACTCTGGCGGATTACTTGTATTAAGGACCAGTAGAGGCTGATCAGAGGCTCTATAATCACACATACATGGCTAAGCTAAAAATTAAGAAAAACTTTTAACCCATTTTTATTTTATTTCTTTAGTTTTAATTTGTTTACAAAGATCGAGTTAAAACTACTCCGCGGTACTGAACCCTTCTTATCGAATTATTAATATCCGCCTGAAACATCGTAAATGGTTTCATCTAATTGTAACCTACAACTATTTTATTTACGAAAACTCTTGGAATTGGGTCCTTTTCAATCTGGAGGATGGTAAACTTTGTCTATTTAATTAAATACTAAAAATTCGTAAATACACATTTGCTTTACACTTTGATCATAAAATAAATTGATCACGAAATCGATAAAAAAAATTAGTCTACAAAAATATTTGGCCGTTTGTCCTATATAACCTCGTTATTGTGAAAATTTTGGGGTGTAGGTCACGCCATACGGCTCAATATTTTTGAAGGCAACCTTTTTTCTCGACTTTGTGGTCAAATTATCTTAAGATCCAAGTAGGAAGCAAATGTGCATTTACGAGTTTTTAGTACCTAATTAAATAGATAAAGTTTGTCTCCCCTACTGATTGAAAACGCCCCAATTCCAAGAGTTTTTGTTAATAAAAATAGTTTTAGGTTATGATGAGGTAAAACTATTTACGAAGTTTCAGGTTGATGTTAATAATTCGATAAAAAGGGGTCTGTACGACGGACTATATCTGTCAAAGGGGAGGGAGGAGAAGGAGGTAAGTGACGTGGGCTCACTGATTTTAATGAAACCTCTTTTCATGATACTAGGTCGAAAAATATTCATTCCAGGTTTTTTTCCAATAAACAATCATGTTGAATTCCCAATATCTTGAGTATCATAGCTACTGTATGTATATTTCAAATAAAGTTCTCTGGACCGTGATGGATTCTAAATAATAGTATTAAAGATGACCATATCCATATATTATCTCAGAATAGATAGGAATAGATTAAGTCTGTTGGAATTGAGTAATAGTTGAGAATGTTTGTTTGCCATTGTTGAGCTGTTTAACTGCTCGTCCTGTTTAGTTCCAATCCTTTCTTTTATTGTTTTTTTCTATTCCTGGCTCCCACTAGTGCGGTCATTATCTTGGGCGATTTGGTAAACGATTTTCTGATATTGAGGGCTCCCCAACAATCATTAAGCTCTAAATCCTGCTATAAATTCCAGAAGAGTTTACATTGATTGTCTGGGATGTTGAGCCAGGGTGTTACTACAAGTATCAATCATTTTTTATAGTCCTGTAGCAAGTCATTTAAAGAACTAATCATAGCTTTATCTTATCCAAGAAACAATTATTCATGAATTAGTTAAAATTATCACTAAATATCATTTGACAATTAGACATCCATAGCTATTAGTCCGACTCCTTTTTAGTATTTTTTTTTTCAAACTTTTTTATTGAAAAATATTACAATCTGTCTCAGTTAAGGACATTTATAACATTCACGCCGTATATTGAGAAACATAAATAAATAAAGTAATAAAAAAAAGAATACATAGAAATAAGAACAAAATAAAATGTTACAAGAAGAGTAAATATATATATATATATATATATATATATATATATATATATATATATATATATATATATATATAGAAAGTAAATATAGAGTAAATATAGAAATAAAGCTAAAATAAACATCTTAGATACGAGAACTAATTAAAAATAATACTATCATGTATAATGTTCCTGATCCTCAAAGAGAAGAGCCTGAAGATGCCCATGAAACAGTAAAAACTTTATTCAATAGAACTGAGGCAAACTTATCTGTCAAGGATATTTCATATTGCCGGAGACTAGGAAGAGGTCAGGCCCCTAGGTCAATTTTATATTTCATTTGTTAGCCATAGGGACAACATGAATTTGTTTGAAAAGAGGGATAACCTCAGTGAAATTAATTGTTCTACAGCTCATGACCAAATGTTATTGGTCGGAAAGAGAAGAAAAGATTTGTACGAAGCTTTAAAAAAGGTACAAAAAATAGATGACAAATCTGTTATTATTAAAAATAAGATTAAATTTAGATGGAGCCTATGTTCCCTTGATGAATTGCATTCCATTTTAAGTCCACCAGATTTTCAAAAAATTACTTATATACCTATATATTCAATATATACCTTTATACCTATACACCTATATATTAAAAAAACTTACCTATGTATACTATTCACAATCAGCCTGGGAAACACCGAAACAGTCTTGTCTCCCCTCCCCCCATGTAG